TGGATCTTCGCTCATAGCTGGTTGTCTCGTCATGGCATCGATCTCGACCTCGAAAGTATCTTTTTTCTGGAAACATGGTCAACCGGAAATTATTATGTTCGCGATTCTTCATCCACCGATGCAGAAAATGAGACTTGGATAAGCTGGGTTCGTCCACCATTTCCTTATGTGAAAATCAATGTTGAGATTTTGTGCTCGTCCTCTGGTCTTGAAGTTGCGCTCATCCCGATGTTCTTGTATTCATGTTTTCTCACCTGACTATAAGGTCTTCATTGCGAGGAATTTATCTTCACACTTGTCCACCCGCGAGGAATGTTCTAAACAAGTGACCACCCAGCCTGAGGGTCTTAGTCATGGTGTGTTTTGGTATTCACACTTGTCCACCCGCGAGGAATGTTCTAAACAGGAGGTCTTCGACCAACCTGCCCACCCCAAAGGATGTTCTAAACAAATGACCACCCAGCCCGAGGGCCTTAGTCATGGTGGGTTTTGGTCTTCACACTTGCCCACCCGCGAGGAATGTTCTAAACAGGAGGTCTTCGACCAACCTGCCCACCCCAAGGGATGCTCTAAACAAGTGACTACCCAGCCCGAGGGCCTTAGTCATGGTGGGCTTTGGTCTTCACACTTGCCCACCCGCGAGGAATGTTCTAAACAGGAGCGAGGAGGTCTTCGACCAACCTGCCTACCCCAAGGGATGTTCTAAACAAGTGACCACCCAGCCCGAGGGCCTTAGTCATGGTGGGTTTTGATCTTCACACTTTCCCACCGGCGAGGAATGTTCTAAACAGGAGGTCTTCGACCAACCTGCCCACCCCAAGGGATGTTCTAAACAAGTGATCACCCAGCCCGAGGATCTTAGTCATGGTGGACTTTGGTCTTCACACTTGCCCACCCGCGAGGAATGTTCTAAACAGGAGGTCTTCGACCAACCTGCCCACCCCAAGGGATGTTCTAAACAAGTGACCACCCAGCCCGAAGGCCTTAGTCATGGTGGGTTTTGGTCTTCACACATGCCCACCCGCGAGGAATGTTCTAAACAGGAGGTCTTCGACCAACCTTCCCACCTCAAGGGATGTTCTAAACAAGTGACCACCCATCCTGAGGGCCTTAGTCATTGTGGGTTTTGGTCTTCACACTTGCCCACCCGCGAGGAATGATCTAAACAGGAGGTCTTCGACCAACCTACTCACCCCAAGGGATGTTCTAAACAAGTGACCACCCAGCCCGAGGGCCTTAGTCATGGTGGGTTTTGGTCTTCACACTTGTCCTATATCAAGTATTAATAAAAGGTGTGTATGTGTATTTTTAAATTTCCCTAAATATTAGTTATAATTATACACAGGACTAGAGCGCCAACTATACATATATATTATAATTTACCATAGTATACTTGTATATTACGAACAATATAATATATACTATATATTACCATATAGTATGTAATATAATATATAGTATATAGTATATATTATTATAATAGTATATAGTTTATAACATATAGTTGATTACACTATAGTTGACTGAGATTGTACTAATTTGAGTTCAATTGGTCTAATTCGAGTTCGATTACACTATAGTTGACTGAGATTGTAGTAATTTGACTACAATTGGACTAATTCGAGTTCAATTGGACTAATTCAAGTTCGATTACACTATAGTTGACCGAGATGGTAGTAATTTGAATTCAATTGGACTAATTCGAGTTTAATTGGACTAATTCGAGTTCGATTACACTATAGTTGACCGAGATTGTAGTAATTTGACTTCAATTGGACTAATTCGAGTTCAATTGGACTATAGTTGACCGAGATTGTACTAATTCGAGTTCAATTGGACTAATTCGAGTTCGATTACACTATAGTTGACCGAGATTGTAGTAATTCGAGTTCAATTGGACTAATTTGAGTACGATTACACTATAGTTGACTGAGATTGTAGTAATTTGACTTCAATTGGACTAATTCGAGTTTAATTAGACTAATTCGAGTTCGATTACACTATAGTTGACCGAGATTGTAGTAATTTGACTTCAATTGGACTAATTCGTTTTCGTCTTTCAGACGATGGTTCGTGAATTCAGGTTGGGGGCTTCTTTGTTGTGCGGTGGTGGAGTCGTGGTGCGGTTCTGGGGCAGGACACGACATTGCTTGGTGACTTGTTTGCTGGGCGACCAGGGCGGCGCTGGTGCTCAAGGCATCCCCCTCTGTACTCAGTTTTTGGGTCAATGGGGTCCGTCGTGTTAATTCTTCCTCCAGTGGTGTTGGTCGGGGTGTTGTTGCGGTGGTGTGGTGGTTTTTGGGTAACTTCCAAACGATTTGGGGTCGGGGCTGGGGTCGTGTCACTCTTCTATCTGATCGGGGCACTTGTGTGTTATGGTCGTGGTGCGTGTTGGCCTGCTGCGGTTCCAAGGTTTGGGTTTCGATTCCATTAGCCAACCGAGTGGTTTTGGCAATTTCAGGGTCGGTGCTTCTGGATACGGGATTCGTGGTCGACTTGTTTTCGCTGGTTCGGTTAGGTGTTGCTACTTAGGAAGGGCTCGTTTAGCTTATGTCGTTTTTGCTTGGTTGATAGTTTAGTGGTTTTGTGTTTATTTTTGTTGTGTTTTTTGTCTGGTTCGTGGGCCTCAGTTAGCCCGAGCGTGACCTTATTATCCTGTTGAGATCGTACACTCAGGTATTACCCTGTTGGGGTCTCGTGTGTTGTTTTTTAGTAGTGTTTTTGTGGTTCTTCCGTGTATTACCCTGTTGGAATTGGTTCTAGGCTGTCTTCTGACCTGTCATCCCACTTTTCAGCTGTTGGCTATTTCTATTCACCTGTTAGCTAATTGTATTCAGCTGGTGGCTTCCCTTTTGCACATTTGTGCACGTTATATAATATCTCTATCGTTTCGGCAAAAATAAAAAAACACACAAATAAATATATATACTAAAACTCAAATTTATTTTAGTATAAACGTGTTAGTGATTTACTTTCATAAAAAGCAATATATTCTCGAGCTCTGCTCCCATCCTGAAAATCCCCAAACCCCAGCTTCGTTCAATTCAGATTCGAGTCGCCTTCCTCGGCGGCGGTGCAGTGCCGGCCGATGGTCGTGCTCGACCGCCGCCTCTCCTCTTCTGTTCTCGGACCTCAGGCGCTGTTGCGGTGTTCAAGCGTGTATCAGTTTGCTCTGGTTTTGTTTTGACGGTGCCGCGGAGGTTGGAGGCGGCGCACTCGCTGTTCGTCGACTTGGTTGCTATTAGTGGTGTTGTCCACCTACTAGTCTGGATCGCAGGTGTGTTCTCCTCCTATTTCTCCTTCGGCCCCTTATTTTGAGAGCGATCTGAAGGCCCCTCGGGCGGACCCGTTCTTCCGATGGACCTCCGTTCGGGGTCTTCTTGTCCTGGTGTCGGTGGACTACGGTAGTATCGGCTGATTTTGGTTCGAGAGGCGGGGCGGAGCTCTGATGGTGTGTCGGAGTTGAGGGCTCGGGTCATCCCCCCTTTCCGGCTAGTGGTGTTAGACGGTGGGGTCTGGTGATCCTTCGCTCGGCTAGTGGTGTTAGGCGTGCTTGGGTGTTGCTAGAGTGTGTGTGGGTTCGGTTGTTCCTCCGGTTGAGGCGGGTTGTTTCGGAGCTTAGTCTGTGTTTGGGATCGCCTTTTTGTATAGGCCTTATGGCAGTTTCGGAAGTCGTCTCCTGGACTTGGTCTATTCTTTGACATCGACTGTCCTCCGTTGGTTTGGGCTCGTTGTTCTGCTGTGGAAGGGCTCTTTGCTTAGTTGGTGTTTTTCTTGTATTGTTTTGTTGTAGGTTTGTGTTCTTGAGTCTGTGTTTGTTTGTTTTGCGGTCTTGTGTTTTAGGTTTGGGCCGTTGGCCTCTGTTCTAATTACCCCTTGGGGGTCGTACCTATTCTCCCGTGGGGAGCGTTTCCAGTGTTTTGTGTCGGTTGAGGGTTATCTAGGCCGCTTTATAGCGTGTCCTCTCAGTTTTCTTTTTCGGCTGTTGGTCCTGTTTGTATTTGGGGATGTGGTCCCTTTTGAGTAATTATATATTACCTCT